CATTTTTGTCAACCTTTCGATTGAAATTTACACCAATAGACAAACCGAACACCAGTTTTGCAGTCCTTAAATAATAATTAAATTCAATTACTATTATTAATAAAATATATAAAAACTGAAATCCAATAGAAATCTAAATGGTATTATAAATAGTATAATAAATGAATGTAAGGCATAGTAAGGCATAATGTAATGAAAAGATTTCATATCTTTTATATTAAAAGAAAATAATAGATTTATGTATAAAAAGGAAATAAATTAGTTTCGCATTTAATAGTTTAGAGAAAGTCGTGTCAATTGAGTATTTCTCTGACTGTGGGCTCGAGTTGTGCCAAATACTCGAGTCCTGCGAAAGAAGTGTTTGTATTTTGATGTAAATTAAAGTTTCCTCTCTTTTGTTAATTTCATTTCTATTACAGAAATTCTCTCAACAAAAGCACATCAAAGAAGTCAAACAACGGACCGAAACCTATCTGTAGTCGACTCGAGAATCACACATCAGTTATAATATAATAGTTGTTTAACATTACTGTAGAGCACATCAAACGCTATTCATTGGCATCTTTTGGTACATTCAAGATATACATAGTGTCGTCAATATCTGCTCCACTCATACAAGTCTTACAGTCTATTAAAAAGCACCAAATTTTAGAATGACTTCAAAGTGAATGCTTTTTATATGTATTGTTGTTTGCAATTGAAAACTAGTAGAAAGAGAAGAGCTTTCGAAAGAAATATCAAACAAAATAAAGCATTGAAGGCATAGAGAAGACACGCAAACCAATGCCACAAATGAGAAGCATATGAAAAGTTTGAATTTCGTGTCACTCTATGCTATTGCTATTGCATTGCATTCATAGCACACATGAAAGAACGCAAATGAATGCAATCAACATAAGAGCAAAACACCATAATCTCAATACAACTCAAAACTTACTTTTTTTGTTCTCTTTATATACAGAATGTATAATAGAGTCTAAAGTCCTCAGAGATTCTTCTTTTGCAACATTTTTATAATAAAATATTATTTTTATTATTATATTATTTTAGTTGAATTATTTGACGCAATGAATACATTCTTTAGGTTTAAATCTCAGAAAACATCTGAAATTAACTTTTTAATGCTTTAAACTGTATTTCACTCATTGTTCGCATGTATTCAAAGCGTGAAACACATTATAATATGAAAGCATTTCTATTATTTGGATTTTTTAGTAAAGAAACTCGAAATACTCTTCATTCCCGTCTTATCCACTTTCAACAGTTCTCTCTGAGACCGAGACATCTTCGCTGGCTTTAAGACAAACATTACAATTATTTTCACAACTTTTTTAAATAAAACTTAATAAAACTCAATAATACCTTCTTATCGTGTGTTGAGGGAGCGGTTCCGCCTCTGTATGCGCTGTAGTCTTCAAAAGACACAGAACTTTCGTTTTCATCAATTTTCCTCTAAAATAATTGAAAAGCAATCGATTTAATGCTTTAATGGCTATAAAGACAATCAATGAAAACAAATACTTTGATTTGTGTCGATGTCGTCGAAACACTTGACTCTTTCGTTTCAGCCAAAAGTCTATTCAATAATTTTAAAAAACGCTTTAATATAAACCAAAAATATTTTTATTGACAACAAATACCCCAACGTTTTAGACAATTCGGTGATTAATTCTTCACTAATATATCTTGAGATCAACTCAAATGCTATTCTTGTGAATTGAGCTGAAATGTCATCAAAAAAGCAATTAAATTAAATCTCTATAAAAGAATGTCTAAAATTAAGATTCCATAAAAATAAAGATATTTTGCAAATTAAGACATTAAAGAAGAAATTCTTGCGGTAAATAAAAAGCCATTAAAAACCATTGAATAAATGCCTCAAAACATTATTTATAAAATGATTTGTTAATCAATAAAATATTTAATCGTTAATTCAAAATATTTTAATAATACATTCAATACATGTTTTTGAGAAGAAAAGTCGAAAAACACCAAAACACTAATCACAAGGACATCAAAGACAGTATATTTCTAACAGAATTGTGGGAAAATGTGATATGAATTCAAATATGCGTTAATTTTTTTGGTGACGTTTAGGCTTTAAATTGAGTTCTAAAACAATCCAAGAGTCAGAAGCGTTGAGAAAATCAGAGAAAAGTGTCGCCAAGTGTTTAATAAGAGGAGATTTACTAAAACAATGAACCAAACAATCAAAGATTTGGCAAAAGGTGTGCCAACGGATCCGATGCCTGCGTTCAAAGCACGCGATGAGAGGGTAAGTCACGCACCCATTCGTAGCGCAAACCTAACGCCACAGGAGCGCAGACTTGCCATCAAAAACGCGTTGAGATATTTCGCACCCAAATATCATTCACTGTTGGGTAAAGAGTTTGCCCAAGAGTTGGACCAATTCGGACACATCTATATGTATAGATTTCGGCCCGAGTTTGAAATGCGTGCCAAACATATCGATGAGTATCCGGCAAAGTGTGCCGAAGGGGCGGCCGTTATGCTTATGATTATGAATAACTTGGATGAAAGAGTGGCACAATTTCCTCACGAACTCGTCACCTATGGAGGCAATGGACAGGTCTTTTCCAACTGGTATTCACTCCTATTCTTTGTCTCTTTAAATATATTGTTTGTTTAAAACAAATGTTTCAATAAATGCGATAATTATCGCACACTTTTCACGTCAATAGAAATCCCATAAAACTTTGTTTTGTTGTTGAATTAATTAGCATTTCATGACTGAATAGTTAATGAATGGTTGCAATCAATTAATTAACGTAATCAATGAACCAAATAATTATAAACGATAGACAGACTGCTAAATGTCCACTAAATTGCAAACATCGGGTCGTGAGAAATATTAGCTCACATGGAGTTCACTATACTTTTTACTTTTTGTATGCAAAATACAAGACAATTATTATATTGTGTAATCAATTTAGCTTTTAGTTTAAAGTTCTCTATAAATATACAATCACTTTAATTATAGGCTTATAATCTGTCTTATAAAAGAGTTGCTCACAAATGGCAAGCATTAATTGCAATACAAAAAAGGCAGTTTTTGCTTAAGTAATGATCTTTACTAAATTAACAGAATTTAATACCACATTTAAATTATGGCAAATTAAACTTGGCATCAAATTTTAATCACCGTAAACTTCTTTACATAAGATAGTATGCGTCCATGTAGAACAGATAAAAATATAGACATATTTTAAAATCAATCAATTTTAAAATCAAGTGATCCAAAGAGAATTTTATATCCCATTAAAAATAGAATGATTGAATTTTTTATTTTACTTATAAAAATTATTAATTAATATTTTATTTAATATATATTTTATATACTGTATAACAATTATTTTCCAATAGAAATGTACTTGGCGATCATTTTAAAAATATCAAAAAATTTCTTTAATTTATCTTTAAAAAGCAATTTATTTCATTAAATACAGTCCAGTAGTTCTTTCACATTAAAAATATATTTTACGGCCTAATATTCGCAGTGCCTGTAATTACGGTATGTGTAATCTTAAGTCTGGTATACAGTACTGGCAGAATATGCATGAAATATCAAATTATAAACAATAATTTAAGACTTAAACTTTACATTTAAAACAGGTTTATGTTCTCGTAATTAAAAATATTAACTTCAATTGAAGAATACATAATTTGTATTCATATTATAAAAAGGACCATGCTCTATAATAATAATGACTATTGTCACCACAATGTAATGCAAATTGTAATATAATTTGTCATAATAAGCATTGTTAACATTATGGATATATTAAGGCAACAATACTCTAACAGTAATAATACTGTATTTTAGGGCCCAGTTTTGGATTACAATGAAATATCTGTCACAACTGGAAAGGGATCAAACATTGGTCATGAATTCTGGCCACCCGTTAGG